TTGTGCTTCTGACATTCAGAGCAAGAACGAATAATCTCCTTTGCTTCTTCATATATATTAGTCCAATGTAATCCTTGAGAGTGAAGATCATTCACCATAGCTTGACTACCAAAGTGACCAAACGAATGTGCTTCTTTTAACAAGCCATTTCGCTTTTCTTCAGGAGGCGACATATAGTCGGAAGTCTCTGATACATTTTCGATGAGTTGTGTAGCAAGTACATTTAGCACTTTGTCCTTACTGTACTTTTTCTTACAAATAATAACTCTATCTTTAGATTGCAAGTGTTTTGTTCTGATTTTTCTCAATCCATCATCCTCCACCAGCTTGTAACTATCCTCTGGAGGATACAAGCGACTCAACAAGTCTGGTAGTTTATTCAACAAACCAGGAATATGGACCACCTTAAAATCAAAGTCAAGAAGTGTCTCAATCCAGCCAATTATCATGGGATTAGCAATTTTTTGTGTGTGAAGATAAGTGAGTGCTTTATGATCAGTAAAAATGGTGAACTGTCGGCCCCATAGAAATGGACGGAATTTATCAAGCGCCAAAACGACTGCATACAATTCTCTTTTGGTGGTGCTCCATCGCCGTTGGGATGGGCTCAGGGAAGTTGACACAAAACTAATATACTTATCACGCCCTTGATCGTCGCGCTGAAAAAGCAGGCAGGCTACTCCATAAAGGGAAGCATCTGTGGCCACATACATTTCACGTGACATATCTGCGTAATGAAGAATTAAATCCTGATGCAGTATGTCCTTTAATGCTTTAAAGCTTCTTGTCTGCTCATCTGTCCATAGCTCAGCTACATTGTTGGCATGACTTAATCGTGAAATAGGTTCAGCCACCTTCGAGATCATGGGAATATAGTCTCTGAAGTAATTAATCAAACCCATAAATTGCTGAATTTGTTTCGCAGTTTTAGGAATAGGCCATTTATCAACGTTTGTCAACTTTCGCTTATCAACCTTGGTGCCTGTCTCATTGACGACAAAACCAAGCAATCGCACTGAATGTTGAAACCAGACACATTTATCAGAGTTTAGAATCAACTTCGCCGATGTCAATCTATCAATCACTATTTTTACATCCTTAACATGCTGCTCAAATGTTTCGCTAGCCACAATACAATCATCAACAAAATTCTGCACACAGTCAATTTTATCAAACAAAGTTGCCATGACATGTTGAAATTGTGATGTAAGCATCTTCAAGCCAAAGCAGCCTTTAATGAAGCTATATTGTTGCCCATCTAAATGAGTGAATGTTAATTTATGAACATCTTCAGGTGCAACTTTGAAACGATGGTAGGCATTCGATAAATCCAATGTGGTGAAAAATTTCTTTCCACTCAAATTCTGGAATATCGTTTGGATTTTAGGAATTGGATAGTTGAATGTGGGAGGTAGGATCTGATTCAATAATCGCACATCTAGACAAACTCGGTGACTCACAATCTCTCCAGCTTTGTTTCTTTTAGGCACAAGCAACATAGGACTGTTGAAGGAAGTATTGGTCTTGGACTTGACAATCGTGCCTGTCTCAAGCCATTCTTTTACTTGTTTATCAAGTGTTGGTCGTAGAGCATGGGGAATAGGATATTGACGTCTATAAGCTGTGGCGCCTTCTTTTGTGGGTAATCTAATTAGAGATTCTGATAAAGGACAAGAGGACTCGACTGGGATTTTCTTATTTTCATCCAGTGAGGCCTGAATTGACTGAATAAATTCTGCTCGCTGTATTTCCGTACCAGCTGGCGAATTATCCGGTTCAAACTTTTTCTCTTTATCGATATTTAGATTCTCATACACAGCGGCATAGTCTTTAGCGTTATCTGAATGAATATATTCTCCTTCGATATCGTATGCAACATTAATCAATCCGATGTTCATTTTTGTTAAGATATCTCTTCCAAGAAGAATATCAAAATTAAATCCTGTATTAAACTCTAACACCTCGGGTGCATGCTTAAACGTAATTCCATTCACATATTTAAAATTTAAAGGATCAGTTTTTCCCAATCGCTTAGTACCACTATTCTTTGACAAGAAAGTGAAGGACCCATTTGATGAATTTATTTTATTTATATTTAAATTTTCATTCAAACATTGTAAACTAATGAAAGTGCGTGCACTGCCAGTGTCAATCATTCCAAGTAGTTTGTGGTTCTCTACAATAATAGGAGTGGTTAGATTAAATGCATCATTGGCTTTAACCCTTCTCTCAATTTTGTCAAGTAGGTACTTACAGTCGAAAGACATGTCTTCGAGTTCCAAGTCGACACTGTCTTGGATCGCCTTGAGCACTTGCTCAGACTTCTCCTTGGCAGGGACCTGCGAGACCATCAGGACTGGCTCACTGTCCTTACAGACGTGGCCACGGAAGTAGTTTTCTCCACACCGCCTGCAGGGGTTGCGCTTGGTGGGGGCAGCTACTTTGGCCTTGTTGTTGGCCAGGGTGAAGCATTTGCTCGACTCATGTGTAGTATTCTTACCATGGTGCGAGCAGAAGAAGGAACGCTCCGGCTTACTGATTCGGTGCTGCTGGTTGTTGCTGGAGTGCACCTTCTTGCGAGGGTACGCCTCCATTCTCTTCTTTTCCATTCTCCTCTCAGTGTGCATGTTGGCACCAGGAATGAGCTGGGTAGCTTCGGCATACATGCGATTGTCGTCGCCAAGGATGTCTCTGCCAATCTGCGTCAACTGCTCCACAGTCCAATCTCTTTTGGTCTCGCCATTGAAGTCCAATCTGGTCATGGTGAGCCGCAAGAGTGTCTGTACTTGCCTAGTCAAGGAAGCGAGGAAGCGGTCGGCAACACGAGCATCGTTTTTGGGGAGGCCGGCATCATACACAGCCTGAAGGAACTTCTTGGAGTAATCTCCAATCGACTCAGAAGGAAGCATTACCATGGTAAATACCTCTTTTACCGAACGGGATGTCACCAAGCGCGATCCATGTCTTGCTGTAAAGCAGATCTTGGCCGCGTTCCAATCTACACACTTCTTCAAATCCATCTCTACCCATCCATCGTCACTATGAGGCAAGCAGAGCGGCAAAAATCTCTTCCAAACTAGTTCAATGTCCTGAAGGGACGACTCAATAACCTTTTGGAAGGTGCGAAGGAAGTGGTCTACTGAGTGAAAGACCTCTTCATTCGGGAAGGATCTAATCACATCGTCTGCCAACTGGAACTTAGGAAGATCTCTTCTATTAAGAGTCAACCCTCCAGTGCGACTGCTCTTCTCTACAACTTTCACAGAAGGCGAAAGGTACTGACTGCATGCTATTTCTATATCTATCATTTCTTTGACGCGTCTGACCTTATTAAGGGCTAATTCAGCTGCTTGCTCATCGTTCATAGCGTGAGCAGCGCTGACAGCCTCTACATGCTGTTGAAGTTCTAGTCTAAGTTTCTCTGACAAAGACAAGACTGTTGTAGCAGCATTCGCTACCAAGGGACGAAGGGGAGAGGGAGCCACAAATTGTCCAGGGGTGGAGCTGGCAAAGGAGATGTTGTCACTCAGACTGGCGATGAGGTCCTCCTCAGTCATGACGGACATGGCATCCTCATCATGAGCAGGGATGATGGCGGCGGGATAGTTCTCAGCAGAGGGGTTCATGGTAGTTCACGAAAAAAAATGTTGTGGTGGTTGAAGTTGAAGAAGTTTTTAAGAGGAAGAATTCAAGATTTGAAATTAGGAACGAAGATTCGTGAGAACTTGTGTAGGTTTTGTTTATTGAGAAAGATTTTGTATCAAAGTTTGACCAGGTTCCTACACTGAACTACTACTGCTATTTATATTGTTTTGGATTGGGAAAATTATATGACTGGGGTCAGGTAATCGATCCTATCTGAGCCTTAATCAGAGCAACGTGATCTTGAGATAATTAATGTATGATTAATTATATAAATGTGTGTAGTCCCAATGAAGTATTAACATCGAAAGTAAATGTGTTTATGAGTTATAATTATGCTTATAATAATCCACTGATGTATCCCATATTATGGTGATATCATCATATGAAATATAATCACTATCGTGCATGCTAAACCTGTGTGTTAAATAATAAAGTAATCGGTAGACACCTTTGACTGGAATAGCTGAGGCCTTATATTATTTCCTTCAGACTTATTCTCAATTACAGCAGTAGTCAATACTCATTTACAACACTTACATTTTTTTGATTCTTGCCCATCATACATATACGTACCTGACGAACTGGAGGTTGATTGACAATGAGATGGGCCATGAAGTTGGATTTCTTTCTGAGATATTGTTTCTCTATCTCTTGCAGAAAGATGTGATGTCACATAGTGAGTCTGATATGAAAGACATGAACGTTGAAACTGTATGTGTGCTTAGGGTTAAGCATCCCAGCTGGAGAAGCAATGAGATAAACTATTTTTGGTTACACACTGATGATAAAATAAAGATCTAATGAAATAAATATAGCTGAATCATTTTGTGGAGATTGTGGACTTTGTAGCAGTACAAACTTGTTCAGACAAGTCGATGTTAAAGTCGAGAGCAAGAATGCCTAGACTTCAATTGGGGGAAAAGAATGATGTTGTCTCTCGTCACCTGATTTCGTCGCTCTCCCCATGGGCAATTAAACAATAATTTTTTTTTGCTTCACAAACACATGCGGTTTTTGTGCTTGAATGATATATAACCAGACTGAAAGCAAAAATGATATTAAATAGAAATAAAAAAAAAGAGAAATATATTAATAAATAAAGTAAAATAGAATAAGATAAAGAATATATAAATAAAATAATAAAATATAGAAAATAAATAATAAATAAAAATAAAAAGAATTAAGCATATATTTTTTGCGGCAAAGGAATTGCCATCTTCTTATTGACATTTCTTGTTGTCTTGTAGTCAACAATTGCAACTGGCAGAAGGATACGATGAACTGGAAGAATAGATTGAAAGTTCAAAGAGTAGAAGTCATTTTGGTATATTTCGATGCCTACGGATGTCAGATGTTGTTTTGTACCATTTGACAAAAGCAAAGGTATGCTGGTGATTGTGATTGTAAAGTGTTGTGGGAGAGTTTGTGGGTGTGAATGAATAAACGAAGATGTACTGAATCTCACCAACATAACCATAATAAGCATTCATGCGATTTTCTTTAAACAAAGCCTGAATATAGAAATCACGTCCATTGTCATTACATCCCTTGTAGACTTGCCCTAAAATTTCAATAGACTTTATGACTTTAATCTGGTTGTTTACAAATGCTGAACTTGTCATGTCATTCTTGCAACTAGAGATCCTCCTGTCATTGTACACAACCTGGTGTGGTGATCCAGACACTCGGATGTTGGATTTATCACATATAAGAACATATTCATATTGGGATAGTGTAGTAGCTATTATCTTGTCAGTATAAAATATATATAAACAATTAAGTAATCAGTCCAATAATTATTACAGTTAGTACTGTAAATAATATCTTAAAGGTTGTTAAGATAATTATATCATACTGCTGGGTAAACTGTGTCAGATCGATATAAAGCTAATTTCGTAGGAAGTCCTAAAGCTCTAGTGCAAAAGAGAAAAGAATAGCTAAGAGCTAAAGAAGTACAATTTATGACTTGATGTCATAATTGTAACACCGGCACTAGTTAAGCAGTAAATACACTCTAATAACCAAATATAGTAAAGGAAGAAAGCCTTAAGAAACTAAGACATAATGACAAGAGCAGATTGTGTTTTCTTATAAAAAGGGACACTTTTTATTTATGAATAAAGAGAACTTATATACAGTCTCAAAGTATTTCTATACGTCTCTATTATCAAATATTATATTTTTCTATTGTTTCGTATCTGAAATAACACACTATACTCATATATGTTCTATTAGCATATGGCATTTCCCTTGAAGTGTGTATCAGCAACCAATAGAATTTCTTTATCATTCATTCCAACTACACAATAGATTTGGTCCATGTGCTGGAACTATGAGAGAGGATCAGATCTTTTAGAACTAGGAAAGATTTCAGAGGGTATCAAAAACTTGGAATGTGTAGTTCTTTTTCTTAAATAAGATTTTTTTAGATAATCAGCACGTTATAGTTATTGAATATCCTTGGCACAATCTTTACTGATGCAAGTTGAGTTATAACATATGATGCAACTGATCAGAAATATAATATGTATTATATGTATAATTATCTTCTTGTGATTTCACTCAAGAAAATCCAATAAAAAGGAATTTAGACAATGGACAGGACTTGAAATAGATAGAAACAGATATATAAACAATAAACAGATAGACAAACAGACAAACAGACAGCAAGACAAATGGATAAACAGACAAGCAGACAAATGGTGAGACAGTACATATAGATCCTAACAGTGTGCAACTTAGTATTTCCCACAGAACAATAGCTCAAGCTCAGTGATAATGTTCAAAAGAAATATAGAGGAAAACTGAATGAATTTTATTGAGATAATAATGTCTCTCTTATATACTAATTGACAACTGCATACAAAGTGACAATCTAGATACATCTTATGCTAAATGATGATTATTTAGAAGAGTGTACAGGTCTTTAGACATAATTACAAAAGGAAATAATCAAAAATAATCAAAAATAAAAATAATTAAACTACTAAATAATTTGAACTCTCGGGAAGCATACTAAAAAAGTAATATCAAGAAGTATAAAGAAAAAAGAGCAATACAAAGGGAAGCAAGCTAAAAAGAAAATAAAAATTAAGAAAAAATAGAAAAAAAGGAAAAAACATTTAAAGTCTAGTGGGAATTTAAATATCAATAGCAAGATAAAAGGAAAAAGAGGGAGAGAGAAAAATAAATCCAAGAAATTGGATTTTGTTGTATTTAGAGATGGAGTCACAACTTTGCACTGTCCATAACTTAATAGTCTGTCCATAAGTTGATGTCACATCAAACAAATATATATTTTTGGTCGATGCTAAAAAAATTTCCAACACTTGTATCAATTATGACGCGTGATATGTTAGGTTTGTTATAGATTGTAAGAGATCACTTGACAAATAAAATATAATGATAATAGAATAAAACAGAAGATGGATACAGCAAAAGGTGGCAAGCAGCAATAGTTGACAGGTAAAAAAAAAGAGAACAACCAATAGAATCATTGTTAAAATCGAGAGGGAGAAAAAGGTATATGAAAAGAGAATGACAAAACAGAAAGGTAATAACCAACAAGGAGACCAAAACCAACAAACAATCTTCCTAAAACCAAGGAGCTGATATGTTATATCACAAGATGGTATAGGCTACAAAGAGAAGAAAACAAGAAAAAGATACTAAAACTGAATGAATGATTTATTGAGTTGAGTTTGATTCTCTTTTTATAGTCGATAAGATTTTAAGTTGATAATAGAAGTTCAGAAAAATAAAGATAATAAAAATAGAATGATGAATAATCAATACAGCAATGATAAAATATATGAATAAAAATATGGTAAAAAATATAATAATAAAGGTACTGATGTTGTGTGGAGATGTCGGCAAGATGAATTATTTGCATTGTAGAAGAGGAATGTTACTAGCATGAGGGACCATGATTTCGAATGAGTACAATATAGACAAATATGTTAACAAGGGAAAAGAAAAAAATATTGTGTGTAGAAAGAACAGAGAATAGAAATGAGATTATTCCTGTGTGCAGAAAAATTCTCCTCTTATCACCGAGGGCACAGCACCACATCAACAAACCGTTGACGTCAACCTCTCATAACCAGGACGACACGTCACAACAAACTGCCGGACAAACCAACCGAGCAGACTGACCTTCCAGTACCGGACACCACGACATGACAAACGTGAACATAACTTACAACACACTTGATAAAACCGTCAATCTTCGATAGTATAGTGGTAAGTATCCCCGCCTGTCACGCGGGAGACCCGGGTTCAATTCCCGGTCGGAGAGTTTTTGGAAGTCTACATTTTGTCGTGCTTAATTTTGGTGATACAAGGTCTAGTGACTTGTTCTTACAAAAGAAGCAGGAATTAGAATGATTATTCATCAGTTTGTAATGTTAGAAATTTGTAATCAACTTATAATAATTTGTAATATTACTAGATACTACTTGAGTGTAGTTAAAGATAAATAATTATTTCAAAAAGTATATAAGATAACCCAAATCAAAATAATAAAAATTGTTTTCTATTCTCTCTCTTATTTGCTTACTCCTGTGTTATTAAAGCTTGACCAATTTGGCTATGTTTACAGTGAATTAGAAGATAGCCTAGATCAGGAATGACACTGGGTTGGTCTTTCTTTTACTATAATAAAGTCAAAAGGTCCAATCCACTGGGGATCAAGGAATATACGTAAAATCAAAGATAGCATAAAAGATACTTTTTATTGATATGAATTGAATTGTTTTATATAGTTTTCTAAACTAATACTGCACATTATCTGCAGTAATTATTATTTATATTTAATAAAAGAAATAGCCATTATACTGTGGTTAATGCTCAGGAAGATATTACTGCACATAAAAAAGTACTGCAGTTAATTATCTTCAGATTTTATGGATTTATCAAAATAATATCCAACAGTGAGACAAGTATTGTTTTTGATCTGGGTTGTTCTTCCAATGCTATAATACAGCCAAAATTAGTCAAACTCACTGGGAATTGTAAACTAAGATAAAAGAATAAAAAGAGGTTAGAAAGATAGATAACTTTTATTGAATAAAATAATGCCTTCTTTTATATCTTTTCTAAATCTACTCAGCCATTATAAATGTCTGTTTTGGTTTCTATTCTACTTTTGTTAAGCTATGTGATTTCTAATTCTTTTGTGAGCAAAAAGAAATCACTTCGGTCGTCGTTCTCAAAAGAGAATTCTGTGTAATCGTCATCCTGATTGGCTGACAAGAATTCGGGCATGAAACACGACAAAGTGTAAAAATGTTAAAATCTCAAAAGCTTCGTCGACTGCAGGATTTGAACCTACGCGGGCAGAGCCCATGTGATTTCTAGTCACACTCCTTAACCACTCGGACAAATCGACGTTTGATGCTTCGACACGGAGTGTTGTAAAAACAATCACCTAAATACAATTTCGGTTGTCTGGCAGTGCAGTGACGTTGTAGAATTCTTTGTAATTCTAGAAAATTATATTCTATTATTATTTTTTTTTGATTTTTTGACGGCGGCCAAAGCTGAATAGAAAGCAATTTTTCTATTTGTAGAGCAAAACACCAATAAGTACAACGAAAAGACATCATCCTGTCAACAATAACTTCAGACAACCACATATCGTATTGTATTTTCTTATTATATTTAACTAAACGAATCAACTTGGAATTAATATTATTTTTATTATATATTCTTACAAGCATAATTTTCTTCATGATTATGACTTAATAATTATTTTATTTTATTTGTATTTAATGATAGTAAAGAACAGATCACATTTAATAGATCATCAATTATACAACTTTTATTATATATATATATATTTATAATTTTATTTATTTAATTATTCAACAAGTCAATTGTAAAACTATAAATATCACAATACTTGCATTTAATAAACATTGATTTTTCTTTGTTATATTTTCTGACAACAAGTTCTCTTAATATTTAATGCTGTTGATATTTTACTTGTTTGATTATCCGAGTATATTGACTCAAGTCTATTGAGATTGACCAATAGTACTGTTTTTCTCTTATTTTTCTCTTATTGATTTTATTATCTTTAATTCTACATTCTCTTTTGAGTTTGTCTTTTTTCTCTCTTATGGAAAAGAGAGGTTATTTCACATTTACAAATTCATTTAAAGCTTGAAAACTGTGATAACATCACCTGTCAACACTTATCACAAACACAAGTATCACACGCGTCAAATTGGTGAAGAGAGTGGGATTTGAATAATTTATTGTATCACTATTAGTGTGTCATGTCATTTATTTTATTTTTTCAACAATGTCTGAAGACAAAAAGAATCAAATCAGTCTTACCAAGTTCATCGCAAATCCGGAGCCATTTTATAGTAACAAACAGGGTAAAAAGCCTACCACTTGGCTTAAGACACTAGAAAAATTAAAAAATAAGGTAGTTTAAAAATGGGGTATACTGTAGTGTAATTTCCATATTTAAATTAGTTGATTTTTTTCCACTTGTGCTGAAGGTGACCTTCACAGATAGTGGAATGACTAGAGTCAACTAGCAGAATTGTGGGTGGGGGGTGCCGCAGGTAAGATTTATTAGCACTTTAAATATACTTATCTGACTTGATATATAAAAAAAAAGTTTTTTAAAACTGTATATCTATTTTGATATTCTTTATATGGAACTGTAAAGGTCAGACACCAACATATTATAAAGATTAAAAGTAGCGTAAAGGTGACCTTTAAGCTAGTTTATTGTTAAGAAGTTTGGTCATCAGCAGCAAAAAAATGCGTCTTTAAAATTATGGACCATTAATAAATTCTTTATTTATTTGGTTTCCTGTTCTTATTAGGTTGATAATGGTTTACGCTTTTATTTTTATTGGAAAGAATAGAATGTTTCTAGGTTTCAGATCTAATAATACTATTCTATATCTCTAGCTACTTCTTGCTTGGTCAGTTTGTTATACTTAGGATGAATAATTTTCTATAAAAAAGAAATACATAAAAAAAAATGAGCTGCTCAATACGGTTTTTTTGGGGTACGAGCAGTACTCTTTGAGAATAGATAAATTGTTAGTGATGGGTATGCGTGTGTATTAGATATTTTAATTCTTATAAACCATTAATACTTACATTGGAATTATCCAGTACAAAGACCAAACAATAAGATATTACAAGTAAAGCTACAGAATTTTGATTCCTTTGACTATGAAAATGATTGAAAAAAATTAAATGTTATGAATTGGGCGATATAATTATTAATTTATATACCCAAAGCAAACGGATTTATTTGTAGATATAAATAATACTTATCAAAAGTCAATATAGTATCTGGTAGTTTTTTTTTATTAATAAACAGCATAAGTAATATAATGATACATATAAGGATAGTAAAAAAACAAAAAAGTCTTATCATGTCAATAACAGCAGTATGAAATAGAAGCTTTTGATCCATAGTATGTTTTGGAGAGAGTTGTTCATCTATAGTAAAAATTGGATTCAGTTTGATTAATATTAAAGAGAAATATAATAAATAAATAGATAAAAATATTACCGTGTTGGTGGTCATGTTTAGCTGTAGAAAATATTTTTGGTGATATGTCCTATAAAAAAGAAAGGAAAAAATCAGGATACTTTTATGAGATGATGATATGAAGTATATTTACTAACCTTAGCTAACCTGGATGGCCATTGTGAAGAGGATGCATCAGAAGGAAACTATACGTGAGTGACTATGGTAGCAGAAACACTTGTTATTACTCAGCTATATTTGAAGAAATTACTAATAAAGAAAAATAAAGAAAAAAAGCACCTTACCAGAAACATTTGCAAGTATAAGAGTAAAAGAGAAAGAAAGAAGTAAAAAGAAAAGAGAGAGTGAGTGTCTATGGCAACTGAAACAACTAATTCTTTTTAGTTATATAAAAAAAGATATTTTAAAAAAGCAGAATAAAAAAAAACTAATAAATAAATAAAAAAATGGGTGGAGACAGCAACAAAGAGTGTGTCTATGGCAACAGAATAAATAAATTCTTTTATTTTCTATAAAGAAGACTTTTTAGAAAGAACATGTCTTACACAAATAGTTCACAAATATAATAGAAGTTGCAGAGATAGAAAAGCAAAGAAAAGACTAATAGCAAATGTAAAGAGCAGAAAAAAAGAAAAACAGAAACAACAACAAAAAAAAAGAAAAAAGAAAAGTTCATTTGAAATAAAAGACTAGACTGATTCGATCAATTGTGTTCTAAAACAATATGAAAGCCAATTTGCATCTCAGTGATTACAAGAAGTATTAATAGAGACTTATATATTAAAGATATGCTGAATATCTATATAAACCATACGTTTTATACAATTTATTTACTCTTTCTCCTGCTTTCTTGCTACTTATTGCACTCATACTCAAACACACATACATTAACCCATTTTATTTCAAATAATTTAAGTATGTAAATTTGATATAATTTATTTTTAATTAAATTCAATTCAATTGTATAATAATATCAATAATAATGTAATCTAAAATTAACAGTTACATTTTTATCTTTCATTATATTCTGTAGACAATGACTATTCAAAGACGTCAACTTGCTCTTCGTCCCATTGAGATTACAAACAAACAATTGATAGAAATTCTTTCCACTTTGAAAACTAATATGACAGCTGACATGTCAATTGTATAAGAACAAATCGGCACTGTTGAAGATAAATTGCTAAACATGAATAGCAGAATTGATGTTCTTGCCACCAGCAGCACTGAGACAATTACTGCTATTGATAGTTTAAGCAGGGCCCCCCTCGTTTCCTCTGCCAATATAATAGCTAATGTTGCTCAGTCTGCCTTCAACGCTCCGTCTGGGTTTAGCAAGAAGGCCTATAATGATGTTTATGTCAGTATCAATGTGTGCAAAATTTTATTGATGTATTTTCTCATATATTCTATCAGGCCCATATTCGTAATCTCATGTGGGATCTCAAGCTGAAAACAAGAAATCAAGTTGATATCCTGGCAAATGAGAGTAAGCCCAGATGGAATACAAATGTTTTCACTACGGTGGGATGAATGGCAGTTGGGCCGAAAGTAGGCACATAACTGCCATTTTTTTGGTCGAAACCCAATAAAATCTCCGCCGTTTGTTGTAAGATGGTAATGTCATTCGTAGCAATTTAAAAAAGTAACATGAAAACACTTTTTTTGTTGCTGTACAATATTTTCAATACTGTAAAAAATATTTGTAAGTTGTAATGACCACTTTGAGTATTGAAATATATGTTTTATTGAATATCAAATATGTCAACAATTATTAAAATTAATAATTTTTGGAATGTGTGAACGAAATGGTAACATAACTGCCATTTTTTTATTTTTTAAACTACGTTCTTTTTTTTTAGATATTCTTTTTATCTTGATGAATTGGCAATTTGATTTTATTTAAATCGCGTAATGGCATATAGAGCATATAGGGAATGAAGAAAAAAGCATAAGGTGTATAGAGAATAGAAAAAAAACCAGAGTATATAAAGAAGAAAAGAAAGACGGGGCATATAGAGATTAAAAAAAACATAAGAAATAGAGAAAATTAAAAAAAGAATATAAGATACAAGGATGATATAAAAAATATAAAAGATATAAGGATATAGAGCATATAGAAAAATAAGATAAAAATAAAAAGGATTACAGAATGGAAAGATTGCCTTTAGTAATGCGCATGTTGTTGTTAAAGATATAATAGGGCGCGATTACATAAAACTGGTTTCCATTTGGTGGGTATTGGACCAGACCAACTTGATGACAAATGTCATTTACACTTATAACTGCATAAGTCGGTTGCGTTTGGTGGCCTAGTGTACGGGTGCTTTGTGACCGTTGTTTGACGATAGGTACTGATGAGTCATGACCAGCCGCGTCATGTTCCTTCATGACCTCCACAAAAGCAAGAAAGTGTGGGAAGTCATAGAAATCTACATGCTGAAAGTAGAACTGTACTGTACCGATGAGCCAGCTGTGAACAATTACATTACAGTTGCTAAAATAAATAAATAAATAGAATGTAAGCAACTTTTGATTGTATATCGAAAAATATTATACTTACTTTCTATAGGGGCAAGTAAACATCACGTAATGGTTGCCACGGCTGGTCTCGTTTTTCTTTCTTCGGTACATGCATGAGGAATATACAGTCGAGTCCATCCACAGACGTGCAGCTACAACAACAACAGAGTCACCAAACTCGTGGCCAGTCAAGCCTGTTGTTCTCTGGTAGTATTTCAATAAAGCTTCCTTCACACTAGGGCTGCCTACACCTTCCACCGAATCATCGTTCAAATTAACAAACTGATGAAATGGCTCCCACAACTGCGCACCACTAGGATCATTAGGAAGGTCCATGTAGCTCTCTCTTCCATATGGCTTTGGCCGAATGAGGTTGATTTCATCACAGATGCTGATTGCCGTGCTGATATAATTGTGAATCGCAAATCGCTCGACGAGAAAACTGGCATTTCGGCTACCCTTTGATTTGGACTTAATCAATTTCGAGAAGACGCCAATTACTCTCTCCATTGAGCGAGTGGAGTAGCATCGCAGGGGGCCTTGCTGCTTGATGATATAGGGTATATGGACCAGGTAATGTTGCACTGGTCGGAAAACACTACGAGACAGGGTATTATTCTGGACTTGTTGGTATAAAAACGAGTGCCAGTGCTTGAAGTATCTATTGTTAATATTTAAAAAATGGTAACAATCAGCTATTTGTAATGATAATATATGAGACGTATAATAACTTACGACTCCATCTCATCAAGCAATTCTGATGTCAATGTCCATTGCAAGGCAAGCGCGCAACCTTTCACGAGAGATAATAGAGCTGTTTTAACAGCCCTATTTGGTAAATAAGGCACGACCAAAGTGGGGACAAGGAATAAGAGAAAGTCAAGCCAGTTCACTGCGCGAGTACCATCAATCTTGGCAAATACGTTGTCGAAACTGCCTTGAAATGAGGTGGGTATATATTTTTGTGAGCTGGTGATACAGTTTCCGATTGTTACAAGGTCTGCTCTTGGTATATGAAAAGGGTATTCAGTGGTATTGAGGGTATTGTCTGGATGGGTATAGTAAAATTTGGTTTCCTTTGTGAGGGTGACGATAATCAGGTCATACACAAGCTTTCCAATCCCTCTTGCAATTAAATGAAGTTCATCTAATGCAAAAAATGATGATCCAGAGAAGGTTGAGAGTTGGGTATATATGCTCAGCTGGTATATGTTCTTCGACTATTACAAGCAGTTATTTAGTATGAAAAAAAGATGGCTAATTGAACATTTGTATACTTACAGGGTTGCCTACTTTGAAGTCTTCCAAAGGTCTTAACCGGGCGGAAATGTCATCAAAGTACATGCCATGCCGTCTGTTAGTAGGGCATTTGCCTTTGGTCTCACAAAAACGGCAACCAAATAAACTTGTATGGGAACCAATGTGGGCCATATCAGCTACAGCTGGAATATCGCCAGAAGCAAGCAGAAGATAGACCTTGGATCTGCAAAGCTCCACTCTATTGTGCTTGACAACCAAGCCATGTGCCTCAAGATCTTGCAATTCATTGATGATGGGTATAAGAAAGGAGTCCAAATGAGTTGGCTTCTTGGGGCCAGGCAAGATTGCCAGTTGCAAAAGGTATTTGTTGGTATATCTAAGTATTTTATTAGTAATTTTTTTTTTAAAAAAAAATGTAATAATAATAATAAATAGTAATAAATTAATTAATTACCTGATGAATGGGTCTAGGTTGAATATTATGCAATAGATGATGGTATATGAGTTTTTGCCTTTCTTTTGATTGACAAACCCATCGGTATAAAGCCCAATGGCAATATCATTGGGATTGGAGAACAGGCCCTGCTGCACCAACTGCTTGTAATTGTCACCATCAAAAATGTCAGTTAGCTGACCAGCTACAGATTCCCGGTTTGCTCTGTAACAGAGGAGTTCTCTTGTAGCTGGATCTGCCAACATTTGAGAAAGCATATCCCCAACTGACATAAGTTTCATACTGGCGGCTGGTGTCTGACTTTGATCGGGATCAGTCTTGTATCGCGGTTTGCCGCAGTCAACACAAGATTCCTGGTCGTCATTAATGCCATACAATCGACAACCACTAGAGCAGACATCATACTCATGGCCCTTGACACTTAACTTTGACTTGAGCAAAGCATCAACAGTTTTGCCATGACTGATCTTAGCCCCAGGTTCTAAAAAAAACGATATCACTACATGTTAGTGATCTGGAATTAAAGTACAAGGTAACAGAAAATATAATATTTTACCCATCATTATATCATCATGGTCTCGGATGACAGTGTTTATAAATTGAACAATGTCTCTATATGCTGCTCTAGCAATTCTATGCTGTAGCATCAATTGAGACAGATGAATACTCATCAACTCGGCCTTGGTAAAAGTATTTGTACTGATTCGGCTGCTGTCGTAAATGTGAGCTTCACCCTCACTGTCCTCAAAATTATATGCGCACTTATATGAAATAGTATTATCAAGCTCCATAGACTCCATAGTATATTCTGTAATACATTATTTAGTAATTGGAAAATAAATAATACAATTACAGCTCTTTTCATTACCTGAATTGCTAACAGATTCATCTTCATTACTAGTATCATTTTCGTCATGGTACATGTCAACATCATCCAGAATAGACTGGTCAATTTCAGTCATTGTTGCTGAATCTCCTCTGTGAATTCTCTTGTGGTTTTGCAGCTTCTGGTAGTTATCAAAAAACAAGACACATTGATCACATTGGTATTGCTGTGTAGATATTCTATCTCTCTGCTGGCTGGCGTTAGAAGAAGACATATTGGTTGGGTTGATACGTATGTAATATATAAAATAAAGCTGCGAAGAGGATTTTGGTGCTATTTATTAAATGTAAAAGACATCTTTATATACTCTTTATTTTTTAACCAAAATGCTTGCGGCTCTTTTTCTTTTTCTCTCTCATAATGATGATATAGCAATGATTACAGTAATGTCAATGCTAGGTGAAACACCTGTCAGTAAATAATTCCCGTGGTTGGAAAGATTCTTCTTCATTAATAATTATGATGTAAGTTAAAATACTTCTTGGTTGACAAGGGGGTACCATTAAAAGAGTGCCGGTGAAACAGACACGTACTCTTTACTTGTGAGCGATTAGATATTCTTTGGGCTTTATAAAGAGGCATATGTATATTTAGGATAATTAATGACCAAATAATTTATGTTTTTTTTTAAATAAATTATCAATTACTCTCTAATACCAAAGGCAAAGAAAAACAGCCTTCTAATAATTAACAGTTAAAAAAAAGTAGTACTGTATAAACACATTGGTAGAAAAGACATATTTATATTATCTGTGTTGTACTAATAATATTTTTGAGATAGTGAATATATATTTAGCTAATAGCATTATTTTCTTGTTTATGTATAAAACTTAAAGAAATAGATATAGATAATGAGGGCTATAGTCTGATACTCTTTTACTGACATCATCAAGATAAGCACTACTGATCAAAAGGGGTGTTAATTGAAAGTGCCGATGTGAGTTAAAGCACACCTTTTTCAAAAATGTACGGTTTCAGTCAAAAATGCCCCTTGGTAAATAATAGTAATGACAGTTAAAATTATTTTTACCTTTGATGACAGCATCAATCAAAACGCGTTTTAGTCGATAATGATAATAAGTATGATATGAACTTGAGTATCATAACATTTACTTTAATGTTGATAAAAAGGGGCTAATTAATTATATGATGTTCAGATGTTATATAGCTACTGTAGGGTATATTTAAAGTTATAATTTTAACTGGTACAGGGTTTTGTCATCGAGAACTTTAACCAAATTTCATGCTATATCTGCAATATGTATAGAGTTATATTATTATATCATATACTTTAAAACATTTAATATGTAGACGGTGCAAAGTATGAACATTTATACATATAATATTGATTTAAAGTCTAATTCATTTTATTTTTATATTTCTTACAGTTTTGTTGTGTCGACACAAAAAGACTGTATCATGTTCACATGAGCTACTGCAGACAGGTGCAGACAGGTGCATACAAGTGCATAAGCATCCGTTCTTTTATATGTTTTGTTTGTACATCTGTCTGTATCTTTTTCATATAAATAGCTATCAATTGCTTGTAATAAATCGTTGCCTTTCTCAAACTCAAATCGCTCTTATTCTACTTGTCTAAACTATCACCTTTTCTTTTCAACTCACTGCTTATAGCTAAAAAAAAAACTTAAACATGTCCGATATTAACACAACTCTCCTCAACTCAATTCAAAAGATTGAGGTTGATCTTGCTGAAATCAAGCAAGCATTGCGCGAGCTTCAAAGGCAATTCAGCAATCAATTTGCGCCAGCAGTCAGTGCGGAAGATCTAACTACAATGCAACAAAGCATTATTGAGCAGAGTTGTAAGTCATATATATTCTGTGCTTAGATGTTTATTTACTTTATTAATATTGTCATACATTTTTTGTAGCTCTTGAGCGCATTGCCGAGTCTGTGAAAAGAGCCCAGCTCACAGAGTACCCTGATCAGCTCGGTAAGCGAGTAATCAATACTGGTGGCGAGTTCAAAGGAAAAAACGAAGCACAAAAATACAATCTGTTGCTTCAGATTCTTCACGAGCAGGACTGGAAGGCGCGCTGCAAAGAAGTTCCACAAGGGCAGCCTTTGCCCCCATTAGTCCCTCTTTCAGACCATGATTTGACAGTAAAAAGACTGCATCTCAAAACATTAGGCCGTACAGTAAAGCATGATATCATTGACAAAGACTATCCTGCGGTCTCAAAAGAATGGAAGAATATCCCAGAGAAAAACAGGGAATACTACATGATGCATTTGGAGAGGTTGGCGAAGAATGGTGAATTGCACATCCACCAATGTAAAAGAATGTGGTGTGCAAGAAGCCTTCTTCGGGAAAGCTTCAAGAGCGACAACCAGACGCACAAGAGAAGAATGGCAGAGAAGAACAAAGTAAGTTTATCAATTAACAAATCTATATATTGTAAACTTTAATTAACATCGTTTCCTTTTATTATGCTATAGACACAGTGAGACATAAGTGATTCTTCGCTTTCTTCTCCTGATATGTCAGAAACTGGTGATGTTGAGTCGCCCATAATGGCAGATGTGTTGTAAGTTACCATTGTTGCTTTTTCTCATGCTCTGTTAATACAAAACTAATATAAACTTCTTACTCTTTTATGTAGGTCTCCTCCACCCACAGCAAGTGTTGAGCCTGCTCGCAAGAGAAGCCGAAGATCGTAGTTTGGCTGCTGTGATTGGCCGAGTTTGATTTTTTTAGTCTGTCTTTAGTGCATTTTTTTTCTTATCTCGTCATTTTTCTTTTTATGTTTTTTATTCCTTTTTTCTTTCATATAAAAAATTTATCGACCTCTTTCATATGATTGCTAATGTTGTGATTACAAGAATTTGAAGCTAATATACAGAATCTACAATTCCGCTACATTCAAATATAAAAGGAAACAGTATATAGCCTTTTTTTTGGGAAAAAAATTAATAGTAATATTTTTGTACTGATATATTATACTTGGGAGTTGTTCTATTATATGTAAGTATATTGAGTAGAATAAACACGTTAAGCTTTCTAACAAGATGCTCATTCCGGTTGTATGAATCAGATTCGAATTAGCTTCATGTTACATGACTTGAATCTTTGCTCAAGTTTTTCTTCTTCTACGATAACGACTTTCTATAGTGCTTATGTTTTATTGCTTTTCTTATATATAGATCTTAAATATTAATACATTCTTTAATATATATATATATTCTTAGAGTAAATGCTTATTTTACTGAACAAGTAAGCATATTATATAAAGGTAAGCATTATAATAATATTATATCTATTTATTTATTTTAAGTTTTTTCTCTAATATTAGTATATTTGTAGAAATCGGTAAAAAATAATAAGTGCTATCTAAGATATATTAGAATACCCAAAGTATACGAAATACAATTTGAATAGTAGTGTTTTACTGCATACGTTTTGCAGTAGCTAAACAGAACCATTTTTTATTGTGAGTGGCCGGTGGAATTGTTTTTTCATTATTACTATTATTATTATCATTTTCATTTAATAAAACATGCATTGAAATAAAGATTCAATTCAATTAAACCCGATTCAATATTGTATAATAAAAAACAGACCATTCTGTTAAAGCTGCAAAGGAAAAACAAGAGGTTGTGCTAGAATTGAAAGCAATAGAACAAAAGAAAGAATGTAATAGAGGAAAGGAAGGACGCTTGATTTTTTTTTGAAAAATGGTAACAGTGCCTGTTTTGGCTTTTTACATAATAAATAACTGCCATTTTTTATTATGAAAAAAATGGTAACAGTGCTTGTTTTGGCTTTTTACATAATAAATAACTGCCATTTTTTACTATGTAAAAAATGGTAACAGTGCCTGTTTTGGCCTTATACAGAGTCATAACTGCCATTTTTTATTAAGTAAAAAATGGCAGTTATGTTACCAAAGTGGTAACATGTTACCATTTTCTCCACCATAGTGTTTCTTTTATAAGTTGCCAAACAAGGAGTTGGTGGTGCAACTTCTTGAAAACTTGAAGCACAAGTGTACCCGTAAGGGATTTAGAGAGGCAGACTTCAGAGCAAGACTGCACAAAAACTTCACCAGCCAGGTTTCAAAAGCAAGAAAAACCAAAGAGGAAATAAAAGCAACAAACACTCGTTTGAGAAGGGCAGGACGTGCCAGAGATGTAAGTGTAATCTCTAAATAAATAATTTCAAAATAATATAGTTTAGTCTTGAGAATTTTAAAAATACTAATACAAAAAAACTACTATTAGAATCATACTCACCGTTTACTTGCATACACAGACAACAAAGAAGCAATTGATCTACAAATGAAGAGAGATTGTGACTTTACAATGCAAATGGCAGCAATGTCCGATGGAGAATCTGCAGATGAAGACTTTGAGAATTGCACAAAGAGCATCGTCAAGATTGTTCGGCCAGGATGGAAAAGTGACAAGGTATATTATTTTATATTAATAATTATGTCTTATTATAAAAAATATAAAGTGAAGTATTAACAAAATCATTTTAGTTCAATACTTTCATTAAACTTGTTGATGAGTATGTTATTGAAGCAATAGGGTCAAGTGCTTCTCAAATGAAGGAGAGGGTTTTCACCAGTGTGTCCAATACAGCGGTCCCAGATGACATAACCCCCAAATTTCCTCAGTGGGCCCTTAGAGATGGGTATTAAATAAACAAAAATTGCCTCTCTCTTTTTATTTATATATTACTTTTCACATACAAAATACTATCAATATATATATCAGAAATACGCACTCTGTTTTTTTGTTAAAGAAAAAGAAATGTAAAAGTTCACTTTATTTATTATTTAAGCATATAGCTTCTTTGGCAATGGAATTACTAGCATTTTGCTAACATTTCTACTTGTCGCAATAGTAGCTGTAGCAACCTCTAATAAGATGCGATGTACAGATATAATGCTATAGTAGCTATCAGGAGAGAACGTAGGCAAACAAAATTCAACACTGTCATCCTCACGCAACCTATCAGAGGAAGTACAAAACCACTTGATAAATGCAAATACATGTTAATGATCATGAACCATGCGAGTCAGATGGAGATTGTGCGTGGGTAGAAGTTGGAAGGAGTGTGTAAAAAGATACTAAATTTGTCCAGCAAATTCAAGTATAATTTTTCTATTACTACCAACAAACTTTGCCTGAACAAGTGATCCGTGACTGATTGTGCTGTTGTTTGTTCCTCGATAGTGTTGACCAAGAATGTCAATTGACTTCAATTTGATGATTTGATTGTCAAGTGCTGGGCGATTATAGGATGTGTCCTGATAGCTGGCAAGGTCTGGGAGGTTGTAAGCGACTTGGTAATATTCAAGTAAATGGAGATGGTCGGAATCATCCATTACTGATGGCTTTTTGTATTTTAGAGGGAATGTAGAAGGAGGAAGAGACTCATTACCCTTGGGTGGATTATAAGGATCAGTGTAGTCTTGAACGAATGCTTGCAATGTGAATGGGCGACTGGAGAGAGTGGTGACTGTGGTGGCAGGTATAGAGGTTGTAACAAGTTTAGACAAAGTGTGAATGAAGGGGATCTGGCTAGAACTTTTAAGAACAGCATTGACATAATCACCCTTATACGCATTCTGAACAAAATTTTTCATGTAGGTCGCCTCAAAACCGTCTTTGCCATTTGTCTTGAAATTCTTTAAAATACCATTGTATTGCTCAAACCCAAAGAGCCAATAACTATACACTGGTCCAAAATCACAAACGCATTCGTGAAGATGGAGGTGTAGATGCATATTGCAGGTGAGAATAGTGGCAGTATAGTCTACGTTACATGCATTGCAAAACTTTTCTAACAGGCTGTAGGCAGTGGTGATCTCATCAAAAGTAATGTTGGGCTTTATGTAGTATCGGCATGCATCAACGAAATACATCCAGTTCTTGAATTGTAATGGGGGGAGAATACCATGCAACAAGACAGGAGAATAAATCAGAACCCATGATTTCCACTCGTCCGCTTTCATGTAGCTGAAGCCCTTTCCAATTTTGGTTGTCAGTGTGGTGTAATCTCTGGGCAGTACCATTGTCTCTGCAATTTTCTCCATCGAAGCAAACTCTTCAGATCCAATTGTCTTCTCATCAATCCACCGATCCATTAATCTCTTAGACGTCCCCAGGAAAAGATTATGCATGGGATTAATGATCGTTCCACGTACTAGATCAAAGTATCCAAGACGTTGCAACTGCGACCATCGAACACCATTTTCGACCTCCAGCTGATGCCTTTCTGAGAGTGTACTTGCATCTTTCCACTCCTCAGCATGCAACCTGCTCTCTGCACCACTACGGATATTCCAATGAGAATAATTGAATCCATGGAAATCAACCTGGTTGCTGCTCCCTAACCGAGTGAACTGCCGGCTGCACCTGTAACAAGCACATGTGCTGTTATGCGCTGTGAATCCACTTGTCTTTCTGGCAGCTGGGATATCACATGCAACCATCAGTAGTGCAGCACAAACACTGACACCATTTGAGAATTTGTGTGTAGGAATCTGCATGCCAACGTACAGCTGCTTCAAATCATTCACCAAGGGCTCCAAGTAACTATTGATCTTGTTGGTTTTTGGCTCCTTTGGACCAGGCATGAGACCTACAAGGATAATATTCTCTGGCTTGAATCTTTCATTACGGGGCAAGTTGTTGATGGCCAGATAGATAGCACCAGAGGAGTGAGTGACACCATCAAAGGGCTGGAACCAGTCGATGTTAAGTGTTAACATTAGTGAGCGTGGGTCCAACACAAATGATACACCATCCTTGTCCTTCAACTCCTTCCACATCGCACCATCATAGATATCGCACAGAGTATCTACCATCTTCAACTCCTTATTCCATTGACAAATCTTGGCTTCAAAACTAGGGCAACAGAAGAAAACGCTCAATGTATTTTTAATGGATTGGTAGACATATTCACGCTTTGCAACCAAGGCACCAGAAGATATGAATTTTGTCAAATTACAGTGGCATGCAGACCTGGCACCAAGTTTTGAGGAAACACATCGAGGAGGAGCAGACACGATATCCTGATATACTGTATGACAGTCTTGGCACATCACAAATTTCTTGATGCCTTTTGTAATAGCAGAAAATCCTGTCATTTTTTGTAAACCAGCAAGACTGGTTGGTAATTGAAAATCTTGGTCATAGATTCTCAGCAGGTTGTTGATAAACTCAATCAAGACAGCAGCACCCTTATCAACAACATGACGTGAAGCAAACAGTACCGTAAAAATGGCTATGAATTGATGAACTTCATTTTCGGGCATATCAGGAGCAGCAAAAGGGTCTGTAAAAAATTAAAAAAAAAATAATACTTGATTTTTCTTTTACTCTCTTTTTCTTTTAGTTTTCTTTATATATCTCACACTGACCTTCACTGTTGAAGTCCTCAATCTCGATCTCATTGACTTCATCTTCAACATTGTCATCGAAATCATTGTTGTCTCTGTCATTGTCAAACATTGAGGTGGCATCCAAAAAAGGTGAGTTGGCCTGACCGTCCATTGCTTCCACAGAATCAGAACAAGAGGTTGGGATTACTACAAATATGGAATATAATAGTTTATTAGTTTTTTTTTCTGCTTTCAAATAAAAAAATTCTTATCCTCAGTATCTACATCCATGTTTCTCATTGCGACTGTGTTTCATTAAAAGTTTAAAAATAAACAACATAAATAAAAAATAAAAAATAAAAAATTAAAACGATTATTACGCAGCAAACAAAAAACCAACACTATATATATTATACTATTCTCAAATATTCTGGTACCTTCAACTCTAGCTCTCTTATTATGACGAGTCTCAGTACGCTTTGCAACATAAGAAGATTTCTGATGACTGTTGTGACATTTAATGCAGTGACAGTCTAAGGTGTGGATTTGGGTAGAGGAAAACATATTGTGTATAGCTTGAATTATAAAATAAAAAAGGAAACAAGTACTACAAATACTTTACTTGATGTGATTTTATAGCAAGCCAAAAAAATATGACTTTTTTATTGTCCATTTAAACCAATAGAATACGTCAAAAATACACCTCAACTTAAATAAAAAAAAATGGTTGAGCTGAAAAAAAACCCTGACATTTTCACTACCTTTCTCGTTACTTAAAACTATAGTATTTTATTTTATTTTTCCAGTGAAGAGCATCATGGGTGGACATAGTGGGCGGTAAATACAGCCATACAATTCTGAGGGAACCAATCTTGACAGCCAAAGCATAGTTAAATGACATAGGAATCTGAGTGACAGGATAAGGACAGAATGGAGAAATAAGAACAGAAACACCCATAGAACCTCTGTAGTTGCCAGCTACAGGTGAACCATAAAGATGAATCTGGGACCAAGAAGTGGGGAGACGAGATGGGGGGAGAAGCCATGTTTCAGTGATAAAAAGCATATGTAAAGAGTGACAGTGTTGAAGAACATCATAAATTGCACGAGGCTGCAGACCATTAGCATTCTAAAGTCCTAATGAGATTTCACTCATTCAGACATTGCAACAGAGGTACAACGAGATGGTGATTGGAAATCATGAATACCAGTACCAGGACCAGAAACAAAATGAACAGGAATATCTTTCTTAGAGATCCAGCCTTGATCACAAAAGAAATGACCAACAGAAACAGCAACATGAGGACGAAGATACTTGAGAGCCTTCAGACAACAATCAGAATGAAGTTCAGCAGCAACTTCTTCTAGCTCTGAATCAGAAAGAGACTTATATTTGGGATCTGCAATGTTTTTGGGATTCAAAGGGTCAAACACGTCTAAGATCTCAATGGCAACTGTGGTCAGAGTGGTCTGGAATTTCTCAGCATACTGGTTGTGAACTAGGATGCCAACTACATCCTTGGCAGGAAAATTGATATCCAAGATGCGGCCAGTATCAACACCAAGTGTTTTCAAAGAGTTGCACACTTCTCTATGTGTGAGATGACGTGAACGTGAGATATACACATATTGATATCCTTTGGGACCAGTGGGAATGGCAAACATTCTAGCAGAAGCAGCAACCCGGCGAACATACGGAGGTCTTGGAGTCTTGCGAACAGAAAGAGCAGTAGGAACAACAACAGAGTTGTGAGCAGCAGCAGCAGTTGTAGCCCATGTAGAAGCCTCAGTGCCAGGCTCCTTGCACTGGAGAAATGACCCTGAATACCCTTGTGTGAATGTTCATGGTTACATGTGGATATTTAAAGCAATTTTTAATCTCAGCATGTTTTTTGGTATACATGTTCATAAAGTCATGTTGTAATTTTCTATTGGCTCGGATATAATAACCATCCAAGTTATTTTATCATTATTATTATTATTATTATAAAGTTTGAACAAATAAAGTAAATGTAACACTTGTTTCCCTTTTATCTTAACATTTATAACAAAATAAACACCATGTCCTCTACTTCTGAACTTTATAATAAGAAGTGCTATTGCACAAAATGCAGCAATAATCAACAAGGCTACAGCTTTGTTTCTACACGAACCCTCCAGTGTCACAATAAAAGAGCAAGATATGAAGACATGGAAAGAAGTGAAAGAAGTATGTTTTGTTTTTCATTTTTATTTTCATTTTGGTTATTTTATATAATGTTTTATTTCAATAGATGTATCTGATCAAAGAAATCTCATGGATATTGATTTTGAAAGTAAGAAATGTTAATTGTGATAAAAAGAGAAGTAAACTAAAAATTGAATTCTATATGTAGCTACATCAAACCAACAAACCGGACCCATGGAAGCAATGGGCGGTCAGACCAACTCGCCTGTTTGGGAAGGAGCCCCAATTTCTGATGATGATGTTGCTTTTAGCAATGAGTTGAATGACGAAAACAGTGATGGTAATGAAAATGACAATGACGAAGAAAGCAATGGCGGTGAAGAAAGTGAAGACAATGAAGAGAATATTGTTGAGATTGAAGTCAAAGAATTCGATACTGAAGGTCAGTCCGTGTTAATTGACTAATAAAAAAAGACCCAAAAAAAATTCAAGGAAAAGAACCAAAAAAGAAAAATCTGAAAAAAGGGGGGGGTGTTAATTTTTTTTGTTTTTTTTTACAATAGATCCTTTTGCCACCCCAAATATGCCTGAAAATCCGGTATACAGGTTCATTGCTACTTTTGTGGTAATGCTTGCTTCCTGCTATGTGGTCAATAAGGGCGCTGTTGTCTTGATTGAGTTCATCAACAAGCTCTTGTCGATTTACGAGCAGGATTTCCAATTGCCTGGGAGTCTTTCTGGTCTTCAAAGCATGACAGGATTCTCAGCCATGACAAAAGGGATTAAGAGATTTGTCGTGTGTCAGGATTGCCACAAGGTGTATGAGGAAAGTGTACCTGCTCCTTTGAATTGTGATTTCGTAAAGCTTGGTGCACATACCGCCTGTAATTGCAAATTAATGGTCCAATCATTGTCTGGTGGTTTGGTCGCAAAGAAGTCTTATGTATATCAGTCTCTCACACGTGCTCTTAAAATTCTTTTCCTCCGTCCCGATTTTGAGCAAAAGATCATGCATTGGAACCAAGAATTCAAGATCACTGATACATTGTGTGATGTTTACGATGGTGAAGCCTGGACTGATTTGAAGGACAATGACGATGAAATTTTTGTTGAGCATCCTCGTTCATTGATGCTGACATTAAGCATCGACTGGTTCCAGCCTTTCAATGGTACTAGCTATTCCTGCGGTGCTATCTACCTGGTGATTAACAACCTGCCTAGAAGTGAGTGGTTTAAAGCAGAAAATACAATCCTTGTTGGTCTCATGCCCGGACCAAAAGAGCCAAAATCAGAAGAGATCAATCATTATCTCAAGCCATTAGTCGATGAAATGATACAGCTCTATCTTGGAATACAGATACCCACCTACCAGCAAACAGACGGTGCAACAGTTCGTGCAGCCTTATTGATGGTTGCATGCGATATACCTGCTGCCAGAAAGACTAGTGGGTTCACCGCACACAACAGCACATGCGCCTGTTACAAATGCGACAATCAATTTTCTCGTCTACCAGGCACTTCTTCTGTCGATTTCCGTGGATTTGATTGTGACCAGTGGCGCCATCGAAGTGATAGAGCAAACCGTGTGCATACTGAGGAGTGGAATAGTGCGAGTACACCCTCAGAAAGGCAGCAGCTGGAGGTCAAATATGATGTTCAATGGTCGCAGTTGTATCGCCTTGGATACTTTGATCTAGTACGTGGAACGATCATTGATCCCATGCATAATCTTTTTCTGGGAACACCAAAGAGAATGATTGAAACATGAACAAAAATCAAAAAAATGAAAAACAATGATCTGCTTGCAATGCAGACAGTTGCAGCAACAATGATATTGCCCAGCAACTATACCAAGCTGAAAACAAAGATAAGAAAGGGCTTTTCCCACATGAAAGCAGATGAGTGGAAGTCTTGGGTATTGGTGTACTCTCCCATGCTTCTAAAACCAGTTCTTCCATCCAATATGTTGAATGGCTGGATGCACTATGTAAAAGCATGCCATATACTTGTAAAGCCGTCAATCAGTTTCATCGAAATAGACCCAGCACACAGATATCTACAAGAATTCTGTCAATCTTGTGAAGATACATATGAACCAAAAGTCCTCACCTGCAACATGCACCTGCACCTCCATCTTCATGACACAATTCGTGATTTTGGACCCGTGTATGGCTATTGGCTCTTTGGTTTTGAGAGATACAATGGTTTGTTAAAGAATAACAAGACAAACAGAAAAGATGGGTTTGAAATAACCTATATGACAAAATTCACTTCAGACGCATACAAAGCTGATTATGTATGAAATACGTTATCATGTCCAAGCCTCATTCCATTCCTTCCTCTTTTTGAAAAACTTACACTGCAAAAACAGATCAATTTTGCATATGTAAAGTATACCTAAGTTCTGATAGACAGAATAGGTAAAATTGTAGTTCAGCTCACTTTTGTGAGTAAAGTATTTGAATAGTATTTTAAGCTACTCTATTGGCTACTGGCAGCTGTGTAGCATTAGAATGCAACATCAAACTCAAATAAAATAAAAGTGTGTTTTCTTTGAAGTCTCTTTCTTTACTATTAAATACTATTGTTAACCTTTCTTTTCATTTTAAAATGGCTCCTATTCGCAAACCAACTGTTAGAAAAGAGTGTCGATGCTCTATCTGTAAAAGCAAGACACTAGGATTCGATCGTGTATCTGTTAAAACGTTTAAACGTCGTCAAGAAAAAGATAATCATGATATTACACATGTTCAAATGCGTACGGTTAATACATTTGCTTTACTTTACTTTATTTTATTTTATTTTATATCATTTCCTTTTTTATTATTTTATATAATAATAATAATAATAATAATAATAATAATAATAATAATACTAACACTAATAATAATAAATGTGTAGCCCATGAAGACACATGCGATACAATTAGTAGTGCTGTTTCTGAGCCTGTAAATCAAGAGGAAGATAGTTTTGAATTTGAACAGGAAGATGTTGAAATGAATTCTGAGCTTAGAAGTAAGAAAACTTATTTTATTACATTGATTTATTTGGGTCTAACATTCCGCTTTTGTAGACCTAAATAACACAAATGACATTTTGGATATACGGACAAGAAACCAACCTTTCTCTGAAACGGATTGCGTGTTTGGCCCTGAAGATAATGTCCAGTATACAAGTGACACTTACGAAGAAGAATATGAAGATGAATCCGATGTTGAGATGGACAATGATGAAGGTAGGTACACAGCTTTAGATAATATTATATCCTAGAAAATAGAGAGTTAATCAACGTTCTTTAAAAAAAATCAAATTAAAGATTCTTCGTTGGAATCAATCTCGGAATTGAATTTGATTCACCGATTCATTGTTATTTCGGTTGCTCTTTTTGTCTTGCTATACATCGTGGATGAAGGAGCTGTAATCCTGATTGCTATAATCAACAAGATACTGCAGTTTTTGTTTGACCCATTCCGCCTTCCAGTGAGTGTTGCTGGCCTCAAACGTTTGGCTGGATTTGAAGCGTTGACAAGTTGTGTCAAGAAGTATGTTGCATGTAGCGAATGCCATGCCATATATGATAATGAAGCCGCCCCTTTGTGTTGTACATCACCCAATTTTGGTAAAACCTCCTTGTGTGGCAACAGCTTGTTTAAGTCTGGTCCCAGGTCAAAAGCACCCAAAAAGACATATGTATTCCACTCCGTCAAGAAAGCCCTAAAGATGTTTTTTCAACGCCCAGATTTTGAAAACAACATCAACTCATGGAACCGCGGCCCAAAAATGGATAGCACTTTGTTTGACATGTACGATGGTGCGATGTGGAATGAGATAGTAGACGTAGATGGTATACCTTTTGTTGATACCGAGCGATCACTCATGCTCACGCTGAACATTGACTGGTTTCAGCCATTCGATGGTGTTACCTACTCCTGTGGTGCCATATATCTTGCAATCAATAATCTTCCACGCAGTGAGCGGTTCAAGAAGGAGAACGTGATTCTTGTTGGGCTAATGCCAGGGCCTAAAGAAGCAAGCACTTCTGACATAAATAACTATCTGAAACCGCTTGTGGATGAGTTGATGGAGCTGTACAAAGGTATTAAGATTAAGACTCACCAATGTCCAAATGGTACTTCTATACGAGCAGCCCTTCTCATAGTTGCCTGTGATATACCTGCTGCAAGGAAAGTATGTGGGTTCACATCCCATACAAGTACAAATGCATACCACAAGTGTAAGCGTCAATTTTCGAGGTTGGCTGGAACGAGTTCCGTTGATTATTCTGGATTTGATTTCTCAAAGTAGCTCCTTCGCACTAAGAATGACAATTGTAAGGATGCAGAGATCTGGAGAAATGCAACCAAACCAACTGAGAGACAGCATCTTGAAGTTGCACATGGTGTTTGCTGGTCTGAACTGCATCGTCTTCGGTACTTTGACATTGTCTGCTGCACGATCATCGATCCCATGCACAATCTTTTCTTAGGCACTGCCAAAAGAATGCTGGAGAGATGGGTTGCAGATGGATTAATCGACGATAAAAAACTCGTTGCCATGCAAAAGGCTGTTGAGAAGGTAGTGTTGCTGCCCGATTACACGTCACTTGGGACAAAGATTGCCGAGGGATTTCCCTATATGAAGGCTGATGAGTGGAAGTCTTGGTGCCTTGTGTACTCTCCTGTGGTTCTAAGGGATGTGTTGCCATTGCCAGAGTTCAAGAACTGGATAGAGTTTGTTAACGCATGCAGATACTTCACCAAGCCTAGTGTTTCTGAAGAAGACATTGAGAAAGAACACAAATGCTTAGAAGAATTCTGTAAAGGGTGTGAGACATTGTACGACCTGGACCTTCTCTCTCCCAACATGCACCTGCATCTGCACTTACGCCAAACAATGATTAACTTTGGGCCCGTCTATGGCTATTGGCTTTTCAGCTTTGAAAGGTACAATAGTGTCCTGAAAAATATCAAGACCAATCAAAGAAACAGGTTCGAATTGACATTTATGAGACAGTTTATTGAAGAGTTGTGGAAGGGAGATTTTGTGCGTCGACTTCTGAAACCTATGCATGCACTTGCATGTTTTGAAATTTTTGATAAGTTCACCACCAACAACAACAACACCAATACCAACACTAACACCAACACCAACACCAACACCTACCTCTCTCACTCTTTCTCAATTTCTGAATATCTTGAAGCTTCACAGAATCTTTCAATGATAATTCGTGGAAATGAGCCCCTGCCACCATCTGCCTTGCCATTGAAAACAAGACCATTATCATTTATGTCAAAACATGAATATGATTGTCTTGTAGGATACTATCAAGCTGCGTACAAGAATCCACAGATCTCAGGTTGCAAAGATGTAATTGATGACTCACCTTTCGTCAATGACTGGATCGAAATGGTGAAGTCCGTTGATCTTCTTGGGCAAAGCTACAAAGGGTGCATTGGCACGAATGGCCGCGGATCATATATACAAGCATATTTCACTGAACGAACTGGGTCGGAACATGCGTATGTTGGAGAGATTCAGTACCTTTTTGTTCACAATTTTAGGCCAACTGTTTCTTCTCTAACATACAGAAATCCCCATAGTAGTCAGCATGTATTTGCATTTGTCAAATAGTTCAAATCCACTTCGGACAAAACAAGAGAATTAGAAGGAGTTGAGTTGTTACAGAATGAATTCTACAAGCAAGATTTTCAAAGCATCCTGCCAGTACATCGGATTCTCCTAACAGTTGCAATAGTAGATTACAAAACTACAAAAAATGTCAACAAAAAACTCGCGATTCCTTTACCAAAAAAAATTTACTATTAATTCTCATACACACACTTACTTATATATTTATCCTCTATTATTATTATTTTCTTTAATCAATTCAATTTCAATTATTACTATTTGGCCCTACAACAGAACATAGTAAAAAAGAAAATGTTTATTCATCGTTGATTGCCCAACGAGGCAATGACTGGGACAGAGTGGCAGGAACAGAGCAAGGCAACAATGTTGCTGGATATCTGTTCATTCTTGGCTTTGTTCCCACGCCCGCATTTAACACATGATGGGTACAATCAATGTCGTCAACCATTGTCAACAATCTGTTGAACTGTATTTATTTTTATTAGTTCTTTATTTTTCTTGTTATAAAACTTATTTATTTATTCTAAATATTATTTACCTCTTCACTTCTCCAAGTGGGGCGAGCCACATGCAAATACCGTCGTGGAAGATTGTCCACAATCTCAATATCCGACTCACCATCAGACATGGCATCCTTCTGAAAGAGTTTGAGATAGGCCTTCTCAACAGGGTTTCCAGTCTTATATCCCATTGCAGCATCAATGGCTACCCAGTTGTCCATGTATGTCGACTTGCATCGGATAGACATCTGGTTATATAGATTGTAGCTTGAGAAAATAGTAATATACCAATTAATTTTTTATATAGTATATATAAACCTGAAGAGTACGACTGTTTGCTCTCCCCTTGCTGTTTTTCTTGGCCTTCTGCTCAGGAGACTCGTGAAAAGTACGATGACTGTGCTTGTACCTGTTCTTTATTTTATCACTTATCACCCGTGGGTGAGTACCAGCTAGACGAGTCTGGGCGCTAATGTAGCTCTTCAAGTAGTTGATAACAGCTACGTTATCGCAGTGGTTAATCTTCTCGTTCAAGTTCTACTTCTTCTTACTCTCTTTCTCAGCAACAAGAGCAGGGTCGTCAGACTCGAACTTCCAGTCCCACAACTTTTCCGCAAAGATTTCCTAAATACAGGTTGTTTAATAAGTTGTTGATACTAACATATATTAATATTAATTACCGAGATAATGACAGAAACCTCGGCATCACTGAGGGAGGTCTGGGGGACATAGGATGGCATCAGAGATGGTCCTAGACTAGCCATACGAGTCTGATTGTTGGCATAGGCAGTTGCAAAGTCTGCAAATGCCATATGTGTCTTTCCAGACGTGTCAACAACAACGCCCATCCTGTTTTTAAAGGCTGCCATGTTGCTATTGACAGCAGCAATGTCATCTTTGACACCGTTGATATTGTTGTTTACTTTGTTAAACATTTCAACAATTTCCGCATATCGCTGATCTTGGATAGTTGCGGATGAGAAACTGGGGGCAATTTCTCGAGGTCCAACACGGCCAGCCAAAACACGGTTTGCAGAGGTAGATATACTTGCAGATGCTTTTCCTTTTCCTTTACGGTCTGTTTTTCTGCTGCTATTGGAAGGCATTTTTTCTTTATTGTATTTTTATTAAAGTTTTGTACATTAATAAATTA